GTGAGAGTGCGGGAAGCCCTCACTGAAGAAAAGGTTGTTGTCGCTGCAGTGTGCTCACAGCACACTGAAGCTAACGAGTCATCAGATGAGTTCATACTGGCTCGTGAAACGGTAGTCCGTTTTGTGCAAGACTCCATCGCCGAAGCGGTGGATAAGCAAAAGCAAAACGCTGACAAGAATGGAAGGGCAAACACTCTTTTATTTAATAAAGGTGACTTAGTCCTACTGTCTACGGTTAATCTACCAAAGCATGTAGTGACTAACTTGGGTAGCAGTAAACTACTACCCAAGTACATTGGCCCATTTCGTGTATTGCACCGCCTAGGCAATGCATACACGATCGAGTTACCACGTAAGATGCGAACGCATCCCACGTTTTACGTTGGTCGGCTTAAGCCGTACCATCAGTACGCTGCTTCTTCCGATGAAGAACGCCCTTGCGCTCAAGCATCTCGCAGAGAGCCTTGTGCTCCCGATGGTGGGCATCAACAAGGGTCTGAAGAGCAGTTATCTCAGCCCGAGACCGATCAACAATCCCACGAGCTACCCTTAGCTCGTCACGAAGAGATGTCAGAGATCTCTCGTTCTCAAGCTGAGCAAAGGCAAACTCAGCTCGATGCTTCAAGGCAGTGTCCGCCATCTGGAGACGCCTATTCCGCTCATGCTCGAGATCGTCGCGTAACCCTTGCGTTACGCGATCAAAGAAGCTCTCGGGAACACACCGATCCACATGATCGTGTGGAGAGCGTCTTTCCTCCTCCTCCACCTCCATTAGAGGACTCTCGCGGTGGCCAGCGCTATCTAGTTGAGCAGCTGTTGAACCACCGCGACGTGAACGGACGTCGGACGAGTTACCTCGTCCGGTGGCGCGGCTATCCCCCGTCCTGGGATTCTTGGGAGCCCCGCTCCCAATTGATGGTTGACGTACTGGGTCTGGTCGAGCAGTACGACGCGACACATCCTGTGCCGCAGAAGGACCGCCGGAGAAAGTCTTCCCGGCACGGTCGTAAAGGGATTTCAGGTTGTCAATCCCTTCGTACATCTCAGTAGAGACACGTACGCGCCACCACGGGCTGGTAAGGAGGTAAGCCTCCTTAGGTGCTCGTGCAGAGTTGTTCACACAACATGGGCACGAGTCTCCCCAAGAGAGGCAGGGTAATCCTTTCTCCCTTGACAGACGATGCAGCTTGTAGCGTGCACCTGTCGGGGTTCGCTTTTCAAACTTATCACGAGCTTTGATAAGTTTGTCGTTCCAAGCGTCACGACCTACATCCTCGAGATTATGGATGTAGGCGTTCCACGCCTGAAGTAGTGAGGGACCATCACGTTTGTGATTCCCACTGTACCATCGATGTCTGAAGAAAGCATCGATGAAGAACTCATGTTCAGCGCGATAGTCTTTCGCGCTGGGGTCAAGGTGATGGATCCTCGACGAATCGAACAATCGTGTTCGATAACGATCACTCGTCGTCGCCGACAAGTGATCCATGACAGATTTAGGAGGCATCCATGCCTTCTTTTCTGGAGCGAGACGCAACACATTGCGGTCCCGCTCTTCCTGCGAAGTGCCGACAGAAGTACTGGCACCTCGCTGTGAAGTGGTGTCCATTGGAGAAACGACACCACTATTAGCGCCCGAGTCTCGCGACCTCGAGCGCCTTCGCTTCGGCGATGGTTCATCTGACTCATCAGATGAACCAAAGATGCTGCGACGCAAAGCATCGTCCATGCCACGCTTGGCAGGCGGCTTGGATTCAATTGCCGTCGATACGGATCCGTCATCCGTATCAGGAGAGTACGAGACACCGAGCTCGTACTCTGTGAAGACACGAGTGTCTTCATGACCAGCGCCTGCATCACCAGGTGATACAGGCTGAGTCGATTCAGCAACCGATAAGACATCAGTTGCTGTAGTTTCTGCTTCGGCGTCCGCACAGAGACGTGCAGACGCGCTCTCGGCGGCCTTGCTCGCGCATCGCATGGGCTTGTTTACCATGCGATGAGATGTTGGAAAGTGGACGCGGACCAACAAGTGCAAACCCCGTCCCAAATGATTTGGGACGAGTATCCATTTAGTCAATCAGTCACTAAAGTGACTGATGGTTAAGGGGGGTGATGTAACGGGGTGAATCGTTACATAACAATTTATAAGAAATTGTTAATAGAATATAACTATAAGAGTTATATTCTCAGAATATTGTCATAAGGACAATATTCTGTAGCACTTCCAAGTAGTTCCTAATTGGTTGATATAGGCCATTATATCAACCAACGAAGACGCGCCACGACAGACGCACGCAATGAGTGGTGAGCAGATAACTGATTTACACATTTGTATTTAGACATAGTTAGATGAAGATAAATAGTGATTTATTGCAGACATTAACTATTATAAATACAGTTCTACTTTTTACTTAAACTAAGTACTCGCTTCTTCTTACCGTCTTCCTCTGCACGTACGAGTGTACGTGAAGTTACGAGGCACCGCCTTATTCTGTCATCAGAATAAGTAGCTTGTACTGTCACCAGTACAAGCTTCAGGGTGCCCCGTTACAATTGCTTTATAACAGAGCATGGTGTTGGCCCGTGAAAATAACGTCAAGTTCTTAGCACATTACAATTATCGACTGCTGCGGTTCACTGTCAACGTTTTTAGCCAGCACATATGATAGTCCTGTACACCTTGCTGCTTGGTTGTTAATACGATGTTAGTATCGCGCCTGAGGCATTGCATGAAAAAACAGGACTTGATCAACAATGTCATCCAGAATCAAACTCGTACAAGCTAAACGTAGCTGAAACGCTTGATCCCTCATTCTTGTCACCTTGCCGCGCACCCTGATCCTGCGTGTTTGATCCATTTTTCTTTCATCATGACGCACTGAGCAGAGTGCGCGGCGACCGTGGAAGACATACATGTGTGTCTGCTGCACCAAAATCAGTAAATCACTTTAATTGTGCATTTTTTAAGAGGAGCTTTGCGCGGTTTAGAATCTTTGCAGATCGGCATATGGAACGCCGGCGACCTGACCAGCGTCGAATTCTTTGCGATCCAGGTGTTACCTACAGCTAGAGATTTATGCCGCGCTGTCCTTCAGATCACCCTTGGGTGAACTGCAAGTACTCTGACTCAGTTTGAACTCCTTACGGGACCCGCACCCCTCATTACACTATGGGGCTTTTCGGCTTGTACGGCCTCCGGACGGCACCGGCCACGCATTGGTGGTTGCTCGTCTACATTATTAGCCTATCTCCGGCGCCCTGTAATCGAACCCCCACCGGGTGTTACCTACAGCTAGAGCTGACAGGTTATAGCAAAAGACGACGAATTGGACCTTTTTAAGGTGACATTGCCAAATGGTGCAAAAAGCAGTCAGTGGCGAAGATATCATCGCCATCGATCTTGGCACACTGCGGTCGACAAAGTTTCCGTTCAGCCAGCTACGATCCTCTTAGCAACGCCGAGTACTCAGCAAAGCCACTTATTCCTGTGTCTGAGCTGAGGTTTTCATAGGCTCCGCATATGCGTGATCTTTCATTTACCAGCATCATCAACGTGTTGGCCACGAAACTCTTGTCTCGCAACGTCGCGACCTATCCTCTTCCACCTTTCGAGTTTGCTCGTCCCTTTTCTTTACAAAGTTCTCATTGTCTTCTACGCCCCGTTTCTCGTTTCTCCATCACCACGTCTTTATAAAACTCAATCAATGTCCGCCGTGTCGTCCTTCTCGTTCCTTGACTGCTAAGATCCGTGTTGGTACCATCATCTTCCTCGCTATACCGTCGACATAACCTAGGACCTTGCTATGACGACAGATCACTTTGAGCGCATATGAGCTTGTTCCTTGACCATTTGTTGGCACTGTCAGATTCTACTACTTCAATTTGTTTGACACACACTCGATGAACACAACTTGGACACCCAAAGTTTGTGAAGCAGAATCAATTGACTTGCCGCGACATAAGATCAGCCAGCTACGTTGATTGTTTATGCCCGTGCCATATTAAACATGTATGTCCAAATACTGGGCATGGCGCCAATGACGTTGTGATGATGTTCCACATCACTATCTCACACTCCATTCTGCTATTGTGGGTTCATGAACACTCGACGTCATTACTGGCGTGGGCCCAATCACGTCTTGGTTTCTGTCGATCTTTGTCGTTGTGGCACGAGCAGTTGCACGAAGATGGCAAAGTCGAGACCAACCGAGGTTTCGGCCGCATGGCGGCCAAGAATACTCAACATTTTCGTGTTTTATTGAGTATCCGATCATCGCTAATGCGCTAACGGCCCAGGATGGAGATAATCCCGAGATTGTGCAATTGCTGATGTAAAACGGGAGCGCCCCAAATACTATTGATGGAGCAGGCAACACTGTCTTGCATATTGCAGTGTCCCAGGGACTTTGGAGAGTAGCAGCAGCGCTTGTGAGGGAGCATGCAGGCATGACGATTCGTAACAATAAAGGTATGATGGTGCTGAGCATCGTAGAAAATCGTTAGGGAAGCTGTTTTACAACTCTCGTGTGCTCGCTGCAATAGCTCTGGAGTGAGATATGTCGGACCGAGTATGGTGCGAAGAAGGCTGCATACTATACTTGACATCGGCAGCGTCTATACGACATTACATGACAAACGAAAAGGAACAATCTGAACGTCTATCATATCTGCTGTCGGAATAGACGCTTATACTTCTACGTTGCATCCACAAAAGCGTACTATATTGTAGGACTCTGTCGAATGATCAACACATTTGTACGTTTTCGAGCTCACCCCTGCAGCTTGGAACCTTTTCCCAACAGCACTAGAAATCACCTATCTTTATACGTCTATCGCAGCTCCGAAGAATGGCGGAGAGACATCGGTTTCATGGAATTAGGCGAGCAAATCTAGGATTTGTTAACAGCACCAGAGCGATTAAACTCCCATTATTCTGCCTCTTCCTTAGAGAAGCCAAGTGCGCCAAGCGACAAGCACCTTCAACAACTTGTCTCCTACTACTGCCGCTCGTTTAACATCTTTTTCAGTTGCTGGTTCTGTTGTTCAACATACTTGGCATTGCTCCCAGCAGCTCGACGAATTTCGGTCTCCTGCACGACTTTACTCAGTTAAGTACTCACAACTAGCAAGTTTTAGAAATGTGCTGTACCTCGAGCTGGAAATTCGCGTCAGCGCGACGCTGCGCCCACTTCATGACGTAATAGCCACCGATAATTGGCGCCGTGAAGTACACGAGTCCCATGACACGCTGGCCGTTTTTGGAAAGAGGAATGCGCGTACCGTGAATCTTCTTCTTGATCTGCTCGTGGCGTTCTCCAAGACGCCGTAAGAACTCCATTTTACGTCCAAACTGATTTCCAATTAAATAGCGATCAAGACTGTTAGATGAATTTGACCAACGATCACGGTGCCTGCTGTGGAAAGAGCAGAAAGAGAATGACGAAAAATAGTACACATTGAGTCTTCTTTTTCGAGAAATAGCTATTGGATGTATACCCACAAAATAGGGTGTACACCCGTAAACTCCAAAAGTTTCACAGTTGAGTGTGCGTACAGTGCATTCGTACGGCAAGTAAAAACACGAATGATTTTGTAGCAAAAAACGCGAATGTATTTGCAGAAAAAAAACGCCTGCTAAAAACGTTAGGATGAAAGAGCAGGGGACAACATCTTTGGTGTTGCTGCGTCGAACACTCTCGAGTTATCTGACATCCTACTCGATACAGTTATCTAGAAAAACCTTACGTCTGTGCGAAGCGAAGCGACTTTAGTGTATGTGATGTCGGCTGTGCGTGCCTTCCCGAAGTGCTTGCGCAATGACAGCAGGGATGCAGCGAGCAACCAAAACTTGTCGAATAAGTAGTTCTGCACGATATTGGTCTAATGTTTGATAGCTCTATGCCTTGTTGGAGAATCATCAGCACGTCAACGTCCGGTATTGGGGTTGTGTCCGGTATAAACGCGTCGTGATGCCTTCACGACATGCGCTTTACTTCACGTCAGTCACCTGCCAAAAGCAAACAGTGCCCGGCCGTTCTGTTTCCAACTTTTCTAACGGCACTGAGTATCACGCTTGCATCAAGATGTTGATGCAAATGAATCGCTTTCTCAATGATTGTAACGTGCTAATGCTTTTGACTTGCAGCAGGTGGATTACAAGCTGTCGAAGGGTACGACAACACACAGCTGAGTTGCTCCGTCCGATGAGCTATGGATACGGTAGACGGAGGTTGCACCAACTTAGTGGATGTTGAGAATCATCGAGTTGCTGTGGCAATCATACAGAAACGACGAATGAATTGAATCGATTAAAAGCGGATCGTAGCAAACCACAGGAACATCAGTACTTCAGCAAGTCATCACCCGGAACGAGACAAGGAGAAGTGAACCTAGGGTTACTGACCTTTATACCGCCGCACAAAAGCTTTCTAGGCTTCTGGAATGGGTTATACGTTTCTGAGTGTGTGAAACACGTCTCCCATCCCTTTTTCACGTAATTTATGCGACTGTTAGTTATGCAGTGGATGGGCAGTGACACAGAATGCTCCGTCACATATTACGAATGACCTGAGCTTGCCAACCCCATGTTCTGTCTCTTCACCGAAAACGATGGCCTTAATTCAGTCGACGGATACTGGCGTCGTCTCGGCATTTAAGCGGCGTTACCACCGCTATTCCCGCTGCATAGTGCCCTTGATTGTGAAGAGCATGGACCCATTTCGGTGACATCTACAAAGTCGACTGCCATGCGCTGGTCCATGCATGGACCGAGACTTGATCACCTATTGCGAATTGACATGTCTGCTAAGTCTCTCGTCGCTTCAACGCCCCAGAAATAGCAGATACAGGAAATGGTTCAGAGGAGATCCAGGAGGCGGAGAAGGTGCGTGAACAGGAGCTGGGGGCTAAGCTCAATCAGCTGCCTAATTAGATACATACATCGGATCCCGTAGAGGACAAGAGGGCTCCGTCGAAGCTGGCCAAAGACAAGATGCTGGAAGAGGTCGGGAGGGCAGAAGAGGACGAGACAGCCCGCAGACATCTACTCAATGCGGCACCCGTCGCTGACGCAGCGCCCGATCTTGACTTTTGGTCGATGTTGCTTTCCAACAAAACACTTTGTCAATGACGATAGTGTTTGGAACGCATCCTATGATGCGCGAACGACGAGTCAATTGTGAAAAACTGTCGATCTGTAAGGCTGTATTGCCAACTCTGGCTGTAGCTTATAACGATAAGTAGTTTTACATCCTTTGGTAGGTTGCGGGGTGCTGCAGCAAGTAGCGGCCATCAGATCGAGAAATACTTGTTGGAGGGGGGCACTGTACTCAGACGATGAACCGTTAACTCGTCACTGACGGTACGTAATACCCAGTATATCGTAAACAATACTCTTCGCAAGAAAGAGCGCTTGAACGAACTTGATAACTGCTATGCTCGAGCTTCAAAGCTGTCCAAAAAGTGAGGCAAGACATGGTGTCGTCTTGGTGCAATTGGCGATGCCAGAGACGACGTTCTACTTAATGAGGTGTCTCCATCTGCGATGGTGGCTTCCACCATCGCAGATGAATGAGCTCCTATGGGAGATATTACGACGGGTTGGCGTTCCCCACGCCTCGTGGTTACTTCGGTGGCTACACTCTACGTCGATGGACCGCGCAAGCGGCAAACGGAGGCCCACCATCGCAGATGGATCGGCTTCCAAGGGATAAATTACGGCGGGTTGACGTTCCCCCCGCCATCGTTATCGCCTTGGCGATAGCGACATCCAGCTTGGAAGGTCGCTCAAGCGGCCGTAATGGAGTCTGTCGCCAATTTTAGTGGCATTCTCTCGGCGCGTAACATCACTTCGGTGACTCGCGCTATACGTCGGCTGGCCGCGCGAAGCGGTCACCGATTCAGTTGGGCGTCCTTTTGAACGTCTCGATATCTTCTGCTGCATCGGGCAGCGTTACACTGAGAGCGCTTGAAAGAAAGGCTCGAGTCTGGCTCGGGTTGGATGTCTCTGACTTCCGCTACCCTCGCCCCCGGCTCTTCGGAGTACCCACGTTGTAGATCCGGTTTCGGATCACACTTCCTGGAAACTTCAGTCGTTAGTTATTTGTGATAATAATGGACAACTTGACACCACCACCACCTTTTTCCGCGAGCCCATTTATGCTGGCCAAAAGAGTCGCCGACATGCCCTTTTCTTCAACTGTGCCCTTTTTTCAACGGTGCCCTTTTTCAACACCGAGCGAAACGGTTGCGCGAGTCCCAACGTGAGCTCTTCAACTAGAACTCTGCAATAATCGTCGTAATGGCGAGTAATCAGGATCAACATGCACCATCTCCAGCTCCAGAGACGTCCATGATCAAGTTACCAGATCCAAGAGAAGACACGCACACTGGACGCGTGCGCAAGACCTTCGCCATGCTGGACATGCGCACGGCTTTCACGTCCAGACAGGACCTCCTGGATGCACAGCAGCAATTACTGGCCCACCGCACAGCACAGTGTTCACGCGATCCAAGACGCGGTGGCTGCGCGTGCCGACTCTGCTTGGCTTGGTCGGCTGTGCGATTCAGTTTTCGGTGCCCTTGACGTTCGGATTGTTCCGACAGACTGCGCAGCTTGACTCCAAGTACCTTGAACCAGAGCTGCAGCAGGCTATGCGCAAACAAGATGGCCAACCCGTGCGTGTTGTCACGTATAACAAGGGCATGTGATGCTCTAGTTTCGGCCAAAGTCTTGACGACTGCAACTCAGCAGCATACAGATCTATTTTGCAGCAACGCCGCCTCGACAACGACTACTATGATCGACCTTTCATGCAAACTCGCACAGTTGTGCGCTTATCTCGCGCTAGCTACACACACGCTGCTGTATTCTACTTGGAACCAGCTGAAACGCTGGTGTGACAAAACGCTTACAGTTGCATCTAAAACAGCCTCCGTCAGTCAGAAAAGAAGCACCGACACAATCAAATGGATCACGTACTTGACACCCATCCAATTCCACGAGCCGAGTTTAGCATGACACGATGGACAAAGCAGCTTGCCAACGCTGTTCCGAATAAAGTCAGGGTCCTTCATCATCCACGTCATCGGTTCGATAAACAGTCCAGCGCAGCGTCCACCACCACTGCTTTCACCCGGGCTCAAGTGCAGTAACTAAACGTGACAGCATCAGAGTAACGTCCATTAGCCTCAACAATAGCTAAACACATCAGTCTTTGCTTCACCTGCACCTGATTGCTCGTTGTGCACAGCACGTAAGTGCATTTTCGACAACACAGCGAGCTGCTCGATCGTGCGAGTTGCACAGTGCCGACGATATGAGCTGCTCCGGTCTTTCCTCGTTGCTGATGTGCCATTATTGTCCGCAATTCGGCATGCGCAGGCGTGCGGCCCATCCAGTTCGGGTCCTTTTGCATCCTTTCAAACAAATCCAGTTGGCGCAAGAATCCCGTATTGATCGAGATGCACGGTCGAGCACGCTGCACGATATCGTACGCCTCTAGCAGCGTCTTCTCTTGAGTAGCCATTACGTATGCCACACAGATCGTCGCACTACGCGATTGGCCGTACACGCAGTGCACAAGCACTGCTGCTGCTTGACGCGTTAGAAATCGATTTAGAAACTGAATGCACTCGTCGAAATGAGGCAACAGGAGCTCGTCCTCCATGTCGAGGATATCAATCAGCAGGACGTCACATGGCTACAAAACATGAAACACAGTAACAACCCAATGAGTTCAGCTTCTGGACACGGCTCCGCTGCTGCGTTACAATAACAACGTCCAGCCAACCTTCACCGTGAGATCTCCTGTCCCCAATGCAATAATGGCTTGAATACTATTGGCGGTTAGAAATGCGACGTCCTAATCAAGTGAGGTGTGAGAGCGACCATTCGAGAGCGTTAGAAACGTCCTCATCCATCCCTAGGATGACGACAACGCGACGAACCCGTGCAGCTCTTGCTTCGCCAAGGAACAAGGGCAAGTCTCCAATACGTGCTGCTGTTGGAACCGCTTCTAGGGCCACGTGGTGATGCTGTCGCTGCACGAGCAGGTCCACGAGCGGCGAATTGGGTCCCATGTCGAATTTCTATCGCAAGTGTCACACAAGCGCGGGAGTAAACCAGCTGGACCTACAACGACGAGCTGCGACACCCAAAAAAAAGCAGAAACAAAAACCGCTTCTTTTTTGTCGCACGGTCGTCGGCCACAAACGGTCCCGTCGTTGCATTGTGAGGTGTGTGTGTGATGGCTACAAACCAGTTGAAGCCCGGCATGTGAAACCGTCATTTCTAAAGTTCCGCGATCGATCCCAACCAGTCATTGTAGCCACCACGAATGAAGATCGCGTTTTTCTCGTCGCACAGCTACGACGTGGAGTCCATGGAGCGTGCAGCGAAACTCGACGCCGTCACTCCTACGCACGAGCTCCAGTTCTTGGCCGCGAGACTGGACGTTCACTCGGCCAAGTTAGCCGAAGGGTGTGAAGGGGTTTGTCTCTTTGTCAATGACGTTGCGGACGCGGCCGCTCTTCGTGCCCTGCACGCGGGCGGTACGCGAGTGATATTTCTTCGTTGTGCAGGGTTCGACCGGATCGACCTCCAATGTGCGAAAGAAGAGCTCGGGATGCCAGTGCTCCGGGTTCCCGCATACTCGCCGTACGCCGTTGCGGAACATGCTGCTGCATTGATGATGACACTGAACCGCAAGATCCACCGCTCGTATAACCGTACTCGCGAGCAGAACTTTCGTCTGGAGGGGTTGCTGGGCTTTGATGTCCATGGCAAGACAGTCGGGGTCGTTGGTACGGGGAAAATTGGCTCCCTCTTTGCTCGAATTGCAGCTGGTTTTGGCTGCAAAGTACTTGCTTATGATGTGAGACAGAGTCCGGAGGCTCAGAGCTATGGTGCTGAGTATGTATCGCTTGATGAGGTCTGGGCGCGCTCGGACATTATGTCACTGCACTGTCCACTGACTCCGTCGACGAAACACACGGTCAACGCAGAGAGCATTTCGAAAATGAAGGACAATGTGATGATTATCAATACGAGTCGTGGTGGCCTGATTGACACGAAAGCGCTGGTGAACGGTCTGAAAAGCCGCAAGATTGGCTCAGTCGGTCTTGACGTGTTTGAAGGCGAGGGTGACTACTTCTACTCGGACTGCTCGGGTGGTATCATTGCCGACAACACGCTCGCTCGTCTATTTACGTTTCCGAATGTGATTATCACGGGACACCAGGCGTTTTTCACGAAAGAGGCTCTCGACAACATCAGCCACACTACAATGAGCAACATTCAAGCGTACAGCGCGAAAGAAGAGCTGGTGAACGAAGTCAAGTGAAGCCCGCCGTCAACATTCGCGTCAATTGTGACAAGGCAAGTATGAAGCGCCTTTTCTGGATTTCATGTCTGCAAAGAGTTCCCGAAACTACAGTAATGAAGCAAAAAAGTAACGAATAAACCTCACGCAGAATTATTCGGAAGAATACAGGAGCTGCAAAGATAGCAAGTTGATGGGAAGTCAGCTGGGCACTCGATGGCTTTAGATGCATGAGGCACTTGTTCACCGTCATCGGGATGATTCTGCGAGCCATTTTTCATTTACTTTGGTATTTGCTCACTCGCCCTCTAGATCGGCAACGACACGAACAGAAGATGCCCCAATCGTTTACCTCGCAGCTTCCACGGCGATTCTGATGTGCAACACGAACTTTTGGAGATAGCCAGCTGCAAGATGGCGGATGCAAACTTTCCCAGACCACAGCACCTCTGCCAATTGGCTGTTGAAGACGCACACAAGTGTCCAGAACATATCCACAGTCTAGCGTGATTACAGTAGTGCTGTAGTCTGTCACGCACCAAACTCAGAACGTTCCACCCGCAGAAGCACCGGATGCATGTAGTTCCCAAATACGTGCCGGTTTCTTTCGCCACTGCATTTGTGCCAATGGCATTGTTGGCAACTCGAGCAAGTGCTGTTGACGGTCATCGGTTTCCTACCAGTATTGGTAACCGTGACCGGTCCAATCCGAACCGCCTGTTCAGCTTAGTATTTACGACGTAGTTCTTACGGTAACTACCATAGTTGATTAGACGCGTAGGATGATGAGACGCTTCACATGATTTATATGTGCACCACATATAAATCATGTAGTAAGTAGTAAGCTCCGATAATCAATCACTTTCGAATTCTCCTTCTGCCGAGCAAGTCTTCTCTGCTCCGCTCCTCAAGCCTCTTCGCTCCCTCCGGTCTCTTCCGGTCTTCTCGTCACTCCCGTGTCATACCTTCAACAGGTTATGATCCCAAGCGCAATGTCTTCTGCCGGCCACGCATCCTCCAACGCCCTCATCGATAAGTTCGATGGGGACAACTATTCGATCTGGAGTCGATACATGCGTGGCGTGTTCCTGACAAAGTCAGTGTGGCATGCTGTCAACCGGGAGAGCTCCCCAACGTTCGTGGACCCTCGAGCGCAAGGACGACTACGTCAAGGCCAACAACATCGCGTTCGGAACGATGTTGCTGCACATAGGTGCGGACTACCACCATGTGGTTGACAACTGCGAGGAAGCGTGGGTTGCGTGGCAGAGCCTGAAGGTGCTGTACGGTGGATCCCAGAAAGCGGGAAAGATGTACCTCAAGCGTCAACTCTTCAGCATGAAGATGGATGAAGGTGCCAACGTCATGCATCACTGCAACGAAGTCCTGAACATCGCTGTCAAGCTTAGCAGCATCGGTGCGAAGGTGGAGGACGAGGACGTCGCAATTTGCCTGCTACTCAGCCTCCCTAAGAGTTTTGAGAACGTTTTTCTAAACTTGGAGATGAGCAGCGCGGAGCTTCGTACCCAAGATGTGGTGAAGGTGTTCACGAATGAGCACACCAAGCGCCAAGGGGAGAAGACGACAACAATAGCGACGATGGTCAAGACTGAAGATGCAGCTAAGGCCTTCAACACTGAGCGCGAGCCATACAAGTGCACCTACTGTGGGAAGGTGGGACACACCGTCGATCGCTGTTGAACTAAGCAGAAGAATGAAATTCGAGGAGCCCGACGCGGCGGCAATGGTCGTGGACGCGGGGCAAACAATGTCCAGTGGGGACAATATCGTGATGAAGGCAGCGACTACGATCAAGTAGCGTTTGCAGTTTCGCTTGAGTGTGGACTCTCAGCGAAGAAGGACGTTTCCGGAATGTGGGCCGTCGACAGTGGTGCAACACACCACATCTGCCACGACAAGACCAAGTTTGCAAGACTGAACAAGCACAACGACGGTGAAATCTTGGTGGCGGATAGCAACAAAGTGGCCATCAAGGGTGTTGGAACCATCTTTGAAACGGTGGTTCTGTCCGACGTTGAAGAGCGTGAGATCGAGATCAAGAACGTGCTTTACATACCAAGCATGAGCAAGAATCTACTATCAGTACCGCAGATTAACAAGCACGGCAAGTTTCAAGTCGTGTTCGACGGGACCAAGATGTTTGTCGCTCGCAAAGGATCGCAACAAGTGGTGGCAACAGCAGATCTTGTGGATGGCCTTTACTGGCTTCACACAGCTCATCGATCTGCCAATGCAACAAAAAGCGGATGCAACGGTGTCGACTTACATGCGCGGATGGGACACACTCCAGATGATGTGCTTCGCAAAATGTGGCCACGAACATGATCAAGGATGTGAAGGTACCTCTCACGTCAAGTGGATCAAGCGCATGTCGAGGATGTCAACAAGGGAAAATGGTCCGAAAACCATTCCCATGCAACCAGGACAAGCGCAGATATGACACCTTCGAGCTACTTCACGTCGACATCTGCGGACCCATGGAGATGAATTCTCTGGGTGGCAGCAAGTATCTACTGCTGATCGTTGACGAAGCCAGTGGATGCATGAAGGGCTTCTGTCTACAAGTGAAGTCGGAGAGTGAAAACTACATCACACGATACATCAAGATGGTGCAAGCGCAGTTTGGCAAGAAGGTCAAGCTCGTCCGACACGACGGAGCCCGCGAGTTCGCTACCAACTCGCTTTAAGAATTCTACGAAGATGAAGGAATTGAGCAGCAGACGACGGTGCCATATGCAAACCAGACCAACGGCACGGCAGAGCGCGCCATTCGGACTATCGTCACAATTGGTCGCAGCATGCTTTACCATGCTAAGCTGGAAAAGTGCTTCTGGGCCGAAGCAGCAATGACGGCAATCTACGTTAAGAACCGTCTGCCGTCGCCTAAAGTTATGCACAAGACTCCGTTCGAGATCGTTCACAACTCCAAGCCAAGTATCAAGCACATGCGGGTGTTCGGTTGTCAGGTTTACATACTGACACCAAAGGAGAAGCGGCTCAAGTGGGACCCCAAGGCTCGCACTGGAATATTCTTGAACTACGAAGAAGTATCCAAAGCATACCGCGTTTATGACATCGAGGCGGGGCAGGTAGTCATCAGTCGCGATGTCAACTTTGACGAGTCCGACTTTGGACTTTCTCCGCCAACCACCACTGAAGACGCCGATGACATTGACTTCGACTCCCTCGATCTGGATGATGAAGTGCCAGGTCATGCGCAGTACAAGCAAACAGGCAAGCGCAAGAGTCGTCCCCATGATGAAGGAGTACCAGCTCCACCCACGCGCACAGTGTGTCAACGGCCCGGATTAGAAGAATCAAGTGCGCCAGACAATCACACGACCCACCAAGAAGAAGATGAAGAAACAAAGAATGCTGATGCATCGACTCCGTCTGTGTTTTGGCGTGCGAGTGCGGACGCCATCGAAACGGCAGTAGACTTATCCGAGCCATCGACTTTTGAAGCTGCGGTGAGCGGTCCTGATCAAGTGCATTTGCGCGAAGCTATCCGTGCGAACTTGAGTCGATGCGACTTCGTAAAGTATTCCGCGCAGCCAAGCTACCTAAAGGACATCGCGCCATTGGCACGAAGTGGGTCTTCAAGATCAAGCGCAAAGCGGACGGATCAATTGACAAGTACAAGGCGCGTCTTGTGGCAAAGGGTTTTAAGCAACAATATGGGATGGACTACACGGAAACATTCTCGCCCGTCGTCAAGTACGTGACGCTGCGCATGGTGATTGCAGTCACCATGTATTTCGGATGGACCATCGACCAAATCGACGTGGTGACGGCATTCCTGTATGGTGTCATGCAGGAGCAAGTATTCTGCGTCATCCCTGAAGGCGTGGAATTGGAGGGCTCCTTCGATTGTCTGGAGTTGGTGAAGGCAATCTACAGACTAAAACAAGCGCCGCGCGTGTGGAACGAAACGTTTGACGAGTTCTTGTGTACCATTGGATTCCAAGCGTCAAGCCTCGACCTGTTTCTCTACATAAGGATCGTGTAAGGGCAATGCGTGCTGCTGCTGGTGTATGTGGATGACGTATTGATCACCGGTAGTTCATGCGAGCTAATTGCAAGCACCAAGACCGAACTGAAGACACGATTCGAGATGACTGACAGCGGCAAGTGTGCATTTGTGCTTGGAATCGAGCTTTTGGACGGCGCAGATGGAAGTGTGACACTATGCCAGCGTCGGTATGTAGATGACATACTCAAGCGCTTTGGCATGGATGATTGCAAGGCCGTCGCAAGTCCAGTCGACATGAGCTCTCGACTTGTTTCAAGTGATGCATCCACCAAGATCGATGCTCCTTTTCGCGAAGCTGTTAGTGCGTTGATGCACCTGACCACTGCAACGCACCCAGATATTGCGTTCGCCGTGACCTATGTGTCGCGATTCATGGAGAACCCCCAAGAAGAACACTGGGTTGCGGTCAAGCACATCTTCCGCTACCTACAAGGCACCAAGATGCACGGAATCTGCTACAAGCCAAATGCGAAGATCGACTTTCGTGGCTACTCGGATGCAGACTGGGCCGGTGATCTCGCTGATCGCAAGTCGACGTCTGGTTACGTATTCATGCTGTTGGGTGCGCCAGTGAGTTGGGGCAGCAAAAAACAGCCAATTGTTTTGTTGTCCACGAGTGAAGCCGAATACATCGCACTCAGCTTGACGATTCAAGAGGGCAAGTGGATTCATCATCTGCTTTGTGAGATCATGATGGCTTCCAATGAAGAAGGACCGGAACTTATGATCCTTGAAGACAATCAGTCGTGTATCAAGATGACGGAGAACCCGGTCAACCACAGCCGTGCCAAGCACATTGACATAAAGTATCATCACATCCGTGATGAGGTCAAGCGCGGTGAAGAGAAGCTCTAGTACTGTGAAACTACGGTGATGTTAGCGGACATCATGACGAAGGGACTTCACGGGCCACTCCATAAGGAGATGACGGCGACTCTCGGAATTTGTGCGTGTTCGCATTGAGGGGGCGTGTTGACGGTCATCGGTTTCCTACCAGTATTGGTAACCGTGACCGGTCCAATCCGAACCGCCTGTTCAGCTTAGTATTTACGACGTAGTTCTTACGGTAACTACCATAGTTGATTAGACGCGTAGGATGACGAGACGCTTCACATGATTTATATGTGCACCACATATAAATCATGTAGTAAGTAGTAAGCCCCGATAATCAATCACTTTCGAATTCTCCTTCTGCCGAGCAAATCTTCTCTGCTCCGCTCCTCAAGCCTCTTCGCTCCCTCCGGTCTCTTCCGGTCTTCTCGTCACTCCCGTGTCATACCTTCAACAAGTACATCAACTCTCTTTTCTCTGCGCTCTTCTCGGTGACTCGATTACAAAATCAGCAAGACATCTATGGAAAGCAATCGAGCAGTTTTTGAAATGCGACGGGACCAGTCGGACGTTTGGCTTAAACAACGATTCATACGTGCTTCTACCTGTAACGGATAAACCTCTCGCAGAATCATTCGGAAGAATACAGGAGCTGCAAAGATAGCAAGTTGATGGGAAGTCATCTGGGCACTCGATGACTTTAGATGCATGAGGCACTTGTTCACCGTCATCGGGATGATTCTGCGAGCCATTTTTCATTTACTTTGGTATTTGCTCACTCGCCCTCTAGATCGGCAACGACACGAACAGAAGATGCCCCAATCGTTTACCTCGCAGCTTCCACGGCGATTCTGATGTGCAACACGAACTTTTGGAGATAGCCAGCTGCAAGATGGCGGATGCAAACTTTCCCAGACCACAGCACCTCTGCCAATTGGCTGTTGAAGACGCACACAAGTGTCCAGAACATATCCACAGTCTAGCGTGATTACAGTAGTGCTGTAGTCTGTCACGCACCAAACTCAGAACGTTCCACCCGCAGAAGCACCGGATGCATGTAGTTCCCAAATACGTGCCGGTTTCTTTCGCCACTGCATTTGTACCAATGGCATTGTTGGCAACTCGAGCAAGTACATCAGCTCTCTTCTCTCTGCGCTCTTCTCGGTGACTCGATCACGAAATCAGCAAGACATTGATGGAAAGCATTCGAGAAGTTTTCGAAATGCGACCGGACCAGTCGGACGTTTGGGTTGAACAACGATTCATACGTGCTTCTACCTGTAAGTGTCGGATGAAAGAGCCCCTGCGCTGAAATCCAAGGTCCCGGTGTTCTGCTGATTTTGTTGAATCCCTTACTGATGCTTTCGGGCACTTGAGAAGTTCGTCAAGCACCGTAATTGAACAGGAGCAATGCGATGAAAGAGGTGCTAGGATGTTTGCGTCAGTTCGAAGCGATGCTAGGCCGTGACGCCTTCCGGTCGTCTTCACACATTGACCTGCACGAGTTTGACCGGTATTTGCGCAAATGACAGACAGCCAAGTGCACAGGCGATGGGTGTGGCCATCAATCCATCTGTATTTGGCGTCTATGTTGGCATGCTGCGTCGTATTGCCAACCATGAAATGAAAAAGATGAAGACGCACGAGCAACAGCTGCAACGTGAAGTTGCGGAAAAGCTATTGCGAATCACTTAGGAGAGCTTCAGCGACGACAATCGACACCAGACGCTGAAAGAACTGCTTGAGCAAACCAATGGACGGTCGAGTCAGCAGGAGAACGATGAAGTTTCGCACCATAGACGTCAAGGCAAGAAGGGCAGTATGCAGTCGCTCTCGTCGGACATGCTGCTCACGCGCGTTACTGATGTCGATGTGTACCTGGACAATGTACTGCGTCGTAACGCTGCGGTAGATTCAAACAGCCAACAGAATTTTTGCAAACACATTTCATCGCAGGAGATTGCGGAGACCGACCCGAAGCTTTGCAACCAGCTGTCGCGGTTTTTGACGTCGTCGCAAAAGAGCTGGCATCACTCGAGACTCAAGGTCGTGACATGTGTTGCAGTGACTGCGCATGTTTCTTGATTATGCTTTTATTGTAAACATTAATAAAGTCGCGAGCCATGTTCAACAGATAGATAGATTTATTAAAAACGTTTATCGCTAGACTACGGTCTAATACATTGTAAGTGTAAATTAGTTGACACTGGAGATGGTCGAGCAAATAGAATCAGCTCGATCGTAGTAGCTCAACTGGCGTTGGCGCTTGTTCTTTAAATGGAGCAGTGTCCGGCTGTAACACGTCCGGTCTTCCCCATCTTCATCAGGATCGCGAGTAGCAACGAGCTGTGTGAACTCCTTGGTATTGATCTCGTTGCAAATAGGCTTCAACTTGAACCTGTTCGCCGGATGAGCATCTGCCTCACCTGTTTGGGTTTCATGGCACTTGTTGTGCCTGCGTGTTTCCTCTAGCGGGCGCAGTGCGTGGCTATACCCAATGGTGCAGTGATTTTCATCGCTTGAGCGCAGCTTGGTGAGCTGGTTGTAGTCCCAATCAGTGGGACTAACGCTCTTCTCGTAGATGCCGCATGCTTTGGAAGCAATCTCCGACAGCACACTCAGTACATGACGGATACTCTCTTCAACGAAGTTGCATAAGCTCTGGATCTCGATATGAATCCACTAGTAAACACATGCACACAGAAGAGAAACGTCAGCAACAAGTAAATTGATAGATCGAGAAATGAATCATGCACTCACCATGATTATTCAAGCTGGTGAAGTTGTTAAAGCGATTGTGTTGAAGACTCGAGTGTTGCTGATGTTGATTTTTTCAGAATGAAGTCGTCCTCGCTCATGCCTTTGCTCCGACCCGTGAGATGCACCGACCCAAGTCTGCGACGTGCGAGTAAGTACGCATTTCTCTCACCAATCAGGCATACTCTCCATGCTTGTTCAAACCATCAAGCGTCTACACTTCCTGCAGTCTCTCACTTGTTCTTCTATACTGAGGTCTGGTCATCTCATGTATCTCGTCCCAAGGCCGACTACATGGCTCACGTCATCTTTACCTACCTGACCTATAAAATAGTAACAATAATAAGCATAATAAACACCTGCACAACGGCATCTACAGTCAGCACTCTCTGCATTATGTCAGCACTCTCTGCATTTAGTCACTATCTCTGCATTCAGTCACTATCTCTGATGTCCGATCACCTCAGTTTCTATCTTTGATTCAAATGTGTGCACATGTGACATTCTCGACAGAAAATACGGTCTCAAGTCGCACGCAGCAGCGGCAGACGAGCACTTGTGCTGATTATGGCACTAAACGAAAACGACACGAGTCATCAAAATGATGACGACAATGATGACGATTACAAAGCGGATGTTAAGCAGAGCAGACGGTGCTGCTTGCCTGATTGAATAGATTGTCGAGCTCTTGTAGCAGTCAAATGATGGAAAGTCGGCGGCAAAAAGATTGATTGCAATCGCACAGCGCAACTTGAAGGTGATCGAAGATTTTGCTGCCGATAACTCGAGATGGTTCCGATTCCTCGCGGCAATTAGGAGACTCGTTCCGACACGTCCGTACCTGGACTTTATATCGTTTACTCGTCGGGAATGTATGCATCCTCTGAGCTGCGCAATATAATGCTATGGATTGTTCGCTACACAGCGAAGAACCGTGCAAAAGTCGCTCGGACAAATTCTGTCACATGCTGATAAAATGCGGTGGCTTTGGATTTCGTCGATCAGGCAAGAGCTTCCATCGTCTACATACGGAAGCATACGACTGATGCGAGATTTGCTGAGCAAAAGATGAGATGGAAAACAAAGACAACAAGGTAGTGAGTTACTCCCTACAACCTTCGTACAAACAACACGGTCGTGATATGTAAAAAGAATCGAGCGCAGTATCTCTACAATGACAGCACGGACTCGCTCATGCTGGAGTCCACCAACCGGGAGAATAAAGACTGAGGAGATCGTGCCAGTTTTTTCGGATCGCCACTTTCAACAACGGAGCCACGATCAAGCAAAAGCACCCGGTCACAACGCATGATTGTTTCGACACGATGAGCAACCATTATCACCGTCGACTTTGAGAACTCCGACGCGATCGTCTGTCACACAATAGCATCGATTAGTATTTCACAAGCGCAGAACGGAACTTGAAAAAACAACTTACCTCGGAAATCACTTGCTCAGTCTCGTGGTCAAGTGACGCAGTAGCCTCATCGATACAGAGGACTTTGGACGGACGCAGTAACGCTCTTGCAACACAAAGTAGCTGAGCTTGCCCTTGGCTAAACATCGCGGCTTGTTCGTTGGCGCCACCTTCAACAGCCGTATCTAGACCACGATCTAGCTTGGCAACAGCATTCGCAAGTCTGCCACATTTACGCAGTACCGTCCAGAGCCTCTCGTCGTCGAGCACGCCGTCGGGATCCAGATTGGAGCGCACTGTTCCTGAAAACAGCACGACATCTTGTGGTATATAGGTAAGCCTTGACCGCAGATCTTGAAGTTGAATCGATTCCAACGGCACGTTATCAATCCGGATGCTGCCACTGCGTGCCCACGGAACAGCTCGAAACAGAGCATTGAGCAGTGTTGACTTCCCAGCACCTGTTCGTCCACAGATACCGAGCTTCTGCCCTGCTGGAATATCGCACGTGACATGATTAAGAGCTGGAGCGACAACATGCGGGCTTGCCTTCACTATGTCAGCGCCACTGGAATTATTGTGGTGCCCGATATCGTTTGCAGACGTAACATACGTGACTGACAGAGCCACAATCGAGATATGACCTGCAGCAGGCCAGAACTGTGGCACGTCGTTGGTTTTTGAGATACGTCCGGCCCCAACAATCTCTTCCTCAGACTGGAGTTCAGTGTACTCTTTGACGCGTTCAACTGCAATCATCTGACGCTCAGTGTGGACGAAGCTGTTGAGAATGGAGTTCAGTTTTCCTACAATGGGAAGTGCGTAGGTGAGCGTAAGCCCAAGAATTCCGGGGTTTGTAATGCCTGTGAGACTGAAGTCCGCCACGGCAAAGACCACAATGAAAGATGTCACGCAGACACCCAGCATGTCGAGACGTAGTCGAAACCACGCATTGGTTGTCGAGCTAAGGAAGGAAACTCGCTGATTCTGATTCAAGCACACCTCGTAGACGAGGGAATACTGTCGTTGACGACCTGCGGCGCGGATAACATTCAGGCCGTTCAAAGTGTCTGTAATTGCTGCCAATTGGAATGACTGCGTCGTTGCATCCAGCCGCTTGAGGTGACGAGAGATCGGGCGATAGTCACGCTGCAAGCGGAAGTACAGGAGAGCCAACGGAACAAGCAGCAACAGCACGAAGCGGTTCCCATACAAGAGAATAACAAGTGCACCCACTACATCCGCCGCGTCCTTCAGAAAAATGTTGAGAGTAAATGGTAGCGATTCATCGACGGCATACGTGTCTCCGCTCAGTCTGTTGAGCACACGTCCGACAGGCGTCTGCTTGAAGAATCGTAGTGAAGCAGCGAAGACACTTTGAACGAGCTTGTGGTACGTTGCACGTGCTGCGCGTAAGCCTCCATACGCAAAGAGGAATGAGCGAAAGAACACGGAGACAATGTTCGTTCCTGCGATGTACAGCAGTATCATTGCAAACTCTCGTGGCGTGATCGAATGCCTGCCGTTCGTGTATACTGCAATCCACCAGTCCAGCGAATTACGAGAAATCTGCATAACGATGACAGACATCAATATGATGGCCGAAAGTGTCCAACCGACATCGGACGAGTACGCTTTCCAAACGTGCCAGCCCACAACTCCAGATTCGCGGCGTTCGTCCTTTTCCTCCATAGGAATGGACTCATCCGCTGTCACTTCATCGGTATTTGCGGCATGCTCACTCTTCTTTGTCACCGCTGCGAAGGGCACGGAGGACGAAGTACTGTTGGACACATCTTCGCCCGTTGATCGCTTCAGTAAGGTCATCAAGCGACTAGGTGGATCTTGCGCTTTTAATGCGTTGTAAGCTCCTTGCTCAACAATACAGCCTTCATCCATGACGACAACATGCACATCGGTTGGCAGCAGTGACAAAAGATGAAGCGAATGCGTCACAATAACGACAGTCGCATCCGCAGTAAATATGCCAGAGCCTGACGTGAAGCAATTCGTCATCACTTTGCTTGCGGTAGTCGCATCCAAGCCACTCAGTGGGTCGTCCAACAAGTAGAGATCTGCCTGCTGATAGAGGGCCCGAGCGAGGTTGATGCGTGCACGCTGGCCGCCACTAACATTGCTGCCGCCCTCAGCCACGTTATATGGCGGCTTCAAATGGCAAAGATCTACATCGAGCTCACAAATGCGAAGAACACGCTCAACTCGGTCCGGATCAGCATCACTTTCTTCTCCACCACGGTAGATGTCGTTGTCACAACACAAAGTAATATTGGAGCGAACACTTCCACTGAAAAGCCACGGATTCTGCGGAGAATACGAGCAACGCAAAGATTCCTGTCGCCTGTAAACGCAAGCCGGATTGCGCAAGCTCGTCTGCTTTGGCATTTCTCCAAGCAGTGCGAGTAGAAGTGATGATTTACCTGCACCAACGGGACCACATACGACGTACGTCGACCCTCGTCGCAAACCGAGTTCATTGATACGTAAAATGAACGGATGTGAAGCAGATGGTTCTGAAGTATCTCCCATCAGCAAAGGCGTGTCGACAGTAGATACATCACCGTCTTCAGCTTCTATATCGCTAGCCTTCGTCGCTCCCCATCCAAACTCGCAGTCACGAATACTTGCAACGTATTTATCTGCCTCTTCGGGCGAAGACGTCGCGGACTGAGGTTGATCATTTCGGTGGAGGCCTTCCTCAGTACATGCACTGACTTCTTTGTCGAAAAGAAAGCCTCGGATTCGTAGCGCAGACACCTTTGCTTCAAGAAAGGCATTGACAATCCACGGCAGGTAGTTCATAGGAAATACCAGACGATCAAGCAGCGCTATCGCAGTGAACGCATCAGAAGCCGATATATCTTGTCCGGAAAATATGGCAGTGGCAAAGACTGAGACTTGCACAATCACGGGCGTCGACGCCCAGAAGAATACACAGAAAGCATCCAAATATTTGCGCACTTGCAGCCTCCCGAACTCAAGTGAACGGCTCTTGCTCATTATCTCGAGACGAGCTGTAATCCATCCTAGCAGCTTTAGTGTACGGATAGCTGCAAGACTCTCAGCGACGAGGCCTACGCGTTCGTCTCGGAAACGCATCATGTTTGCAGTGACACGCTGGATCTTTCGTCCCAGAACTGTCTGGAGTGGCAGCATGATAGCCAGCACTGCAACGCCCGCGACAAAAGAAAGGGAGACAGCCTCGCTTAGCAAGATAAACGCAACTGCTATCTCTATTGGGATAAGCACCATATCAAATAGCGTTCCAGGCATGCTAACGATGCGTCCGACGTCAACTGAGATCAGATTGGTAATGTGGCCGAGGCCTCCAGCTTTGCGTTTGCCTTCTCCCGATAGCTGCAGCATCCGTGCATAAATTGCGGATACCAAACCTGCTTGTACTCTCAAATCAAATCTTTTCCAAGCGAGATTGAATTGCGTGCCTGACACGGCAGAAATGACCGACCGAGCCACCATAGCTGCGGCCAGATAGTAACCCGTAGAAAGAGACGAGTCCGACGCAGCGGCCCAGTCTAAAAAGTGCTTCAGCAGGAGTGGACTCACTAATCCAACGGCTTTGTTCACAGTTGACCAGACAGCGAATCGAAACACGTCTGCACCATACAAGCGCCCTGCCACGCGCAAGAACGATCTTTTCGGAGGTGGATACAACGAAAACTCACGCTGTAGCTCTGTCTCAAATTGACTTGCAGCGACTGACGTCGTATCACGCACTGGAAGATTCGGGACATCGTTGATCTCAAGTCTGCGTGCCTTACCTAGCGTAATTATCGGAGTGTTCCAACTCAGGGACAACAGCGAGAACCATCCAACTCGGTCTAATGGGCTTTCTATCCTTGTCCCTGTGGCATCCAAGTCTCGGTCCACTCTTCCATCTTTTGTATCCTCTCGATTACGTCGATTTATCGAAACCCGAAGTACTGCCAGTCCCGCCACTACAACCGAGATCGTGGTCGTATACCACACCAGCACCTTTACCGGAACCTCGGACGTGGTTGTACTCATCCCCCCCACCAACTCCTCGACTACACACAACACCACGAAGAGCGTCACAACCTTACAACTTGCCTCCTGTTGCAAAAACTCGTACAAATTCTGCACGGCATAAAAGAACCACATTGCCGTCGAAACACTAGCGCCAACGACGAACGACGCAGACGAGGGGTACAATGTCGCTGCTTTGGCAACTTCCACGGAAGAGATCGTGGCCGCAACTACGGCCACAAACTGCATCACAAGAAGTACAATGTCGACCTCATTCCAGTGTTTTAAGTTTCCAATCGGTTTTCTCGCAAGATGCAGCACTCGATTCATGCATAAATACAGAAGAGTTAGCCGAGATCCTAATTGTGGAGAAAAAGTAGCAATTCATGATGGGAGAAAAAGTGGGTACATAACGTGATCAAGACTTGAGGGTAAAACAAATGACTGGAAAGCACCTTGAAGAACGAGCAGTTGCGTGCATTGCGCTCGAGATAGAAACGATCCGTTGAGTTCCACGCAATAAATGGAGAGCATCGAATGAAGGAGCCCCAAATGCGGCGGAAATATCCCGTCGATCAAATGAATCCAACGAATCAGCGGGCAACAAAAACAAGTGTGAATTTGGCGGTGACGAACGTGCATTTCGTGTTCCGTACAAAAACAAGACGACATGCGCCGTTTCATAATACCGGTATTTACCTTGGCCTTGTCTTGTTGTCATTATTCGAGTAAATGTCAAGTTTAGCTTTCTTCGACAGCTTTCCTGATCGAGCGAATTTGTTGAAAGCGACAATGGTAGACGAGCACAATCCTCCTGCTATAAACGCACGCCAACACCTTATCGTCCAAAAAAAGCTTCCTCTAACAGCGCACTGTCACTTCTGCCTCCATCTTCTGGAAATTGCACCGTAGCTAATGATTCGACTAACTTCCACACGAGAGCTGCAAAAGTGAAAGTGAGACGAGCCTTTCAGACCAAACCAAAAAATAGCACTGAGCTGTCGACCCGCTCACTTACACCCATAGCAGACACACAAACTGACAAACTATCACAAAGTACCCAAGCGCCATTCGCTCCTCTACGAGAGATGCCCAGACGTGGTGCGTCGCATCGCCCGGACGTCTGCACTCGTAGACTGTTTCACTAGTGGAGACGGCGCTCGCTCCTGCACATTGCGTTCAGCTCCCGGGTGGAACTGATCTTGAGGTGGTGTAATGGGGACGTACCATCCCCACTGAGGACTCTCCGTCTGCTCTGCGTCCACGTCCGACTCGTTTGTCACCGCTGTTCCAGCGTCCACCAGCTGCGTCGTCCCACCCTTGTGTCGTCCCTCAACAAGCGCGACTGCTGCGTCGTCCTGACCATCACTCTCACTATCTCTGTCACCAGCTTCTAAGCGCCTCTCAAGGCAAGCAACTACCGACGACGGGGTGTCGTCCTCAAACACCTGCGTCAAACTCCCGCCGTGCTCGTCGCACCAGCTCACGGCGGCAGAGAGTTTGCTGCCATCGCTCCCGACTGCTCCCGTGCGTCGGACAAGCGCGAGCCGCTTCTGTCGCGTGCTAAATGAGCTCGCGGTTGCCGTTGGGTGTGCAGCGACGTCTTCGTTGACGAGGGGGACGTCCGGGTCCGCTACTTGGAGGGTGTTAAGGTACGTGATGACTGACACGGCCGTGGCGGCAGCAGCGGCCAGCACGGGGTGGTCTTTGAACCACTGGACGCCGCTAGAGAGTTCGGTTGCGGTGGGGAAGAACGAGGCTGCTGCTGATGGCTGCATGGCCCTGACCAGAGTGATGGTCAGTCAGGCACGCACGTATTAACTGAAGTAAGCTAAATTAAGCTGGGCTGGGTTGACAGGGGTAGGGCGACGTGATCGTGGGGAGTGGTGGTGATGGTGGTGGTGCTCTTATAGACGAAGGGTGAAGAGGCGCTGGACAATAGGAAGGCAGCAAGTAGTCGTATGCCCAACTTCAACTGTCCTGATAGCTGCGAGCGGACTGGGTGAAACGGTCCAGGCGCGGGTTTTTATGGGTCTTTTGAATCTCCTCCTCACACATCGCTTTCTACAAAGGCGTCAATCCCACTTTAGCGCATATGCCATACTGTAGGTCTCCTAGCCACTGACAGGAGCGTCAGCTGCCATAGCCGCCAGAAAGAGAGAATTCCCATCCCCGCCCGCCCGCCCGCGCTTCCTTTGCTTTATCCACAGTACGCGCACGCTTGTCACTGTGCTTTCCATTGGTCCCCCTCTACATCTGTTTCTCTTTTTCTATGTATGCATCTCGTGGGTTTACCCACCCACTCACCCAGTGACTGAAGGACTGACTGACTGACTGACTGACTCTCTCTATCCGCTTTGCCTACAGTCTGTACCTCATGGCGGACCACTGTGACGAAATTGACTGCTGTCCTCTCTGCATGGAAGAGCTGGACATCACAGACCAGACGTTTAACGCGTGTCCGTGCGGGTACCAGGTCTGTCTCTGGTGCTGGCATCAGATCAAGAACGAGTACAATGGACTGTGTCCAGCCTGTCGTCAGCCGTACGCAGAGCTATCGAAGCAGAAGAATCCACTGGACCGAGACGAGTGCGTGGCGGATTCTGTGTCTCCACGTGCTTTTTTTGGATGGACGAAGCGCTCGTGTCCTTATTGATTGTATTTTATGTTATTCTTGATGGTGCTTTTATATCCATGCGTCGCTTGGACAATGTGCAGAGTTGTACGACGCACCAAGCAGCGCAAGCAGAAGGAGAAGAATGAGCGACGCTCGGCGGCACAGACGAAGCAGTCGAGCGGGAACCGCAAGAGTCTGCAGAACGTGCGCGTGATGCAGCGCAATCTGGTGTACGTCATTGGACTGCCCGTGCCTTTTGCTGAAGAGGACGTGCTACGCTCGAACGAGTGCTTTGGCCAGTATGGGAAGATTGTCAAGGCTGTGGTGAACAAGTCGCATTTGAGTGCAGACAGAGCAAACGCAACGGCCAGTGCCTATATTACATTTGCTAGCAAGGAGGACGCACTGTGTTGCATCGTGGCAATTGACGGATATTACCTGGATGGAAGCATGCTGCGGTAAAGCCTGGTGGTGTTTTTTTTGTTTTATTCTCGTACACACTAACGAATCTACGATTGTGTGTCGGCAACGATAGGGCCTCGTTTGGGACAACCAAGTATTGCAACTTTTTCTTGCGAAATATGCAGTGCAACAATCCGGACTGCTTGTACTTGCACGAGCTTGGCGACGAGGATGATAGCTTTACAAAAGAAGAAATGCAAACTGGTATGGAGTTGTATTGCTATAACGAAAATAGTTCGAAGCAAAGATGGTGCGGCTGACTCGTGTATGTGTGGTCGTACGAACGCTGATGTTGCTTGTGTGCAGCATTACATTCTGGAAAAGCAGCATTTCGAGATGCGGCGACAGCAAATGGACTGGCAGAAGAGCGAGCAGGGTCCCGGTTTCCATCGCCGCATAGACCTAGCGCATCATCATCCAGGGCAGGAATGGTTGCTAGGGCAAGATCTTCGAGTCCAGCAAGAGCAAGCACGTTAGCCAGATTACACAACGAAGAGGTCTACGGAGATACACAGCGACATGCACAGAGCGCAGCAGCGATATCAAAGCTTAGACGAGCGACAGGCGATTTCGACAATAGTTCAGGGTCTTCGTCGGCAGATCACGTCTGCGGAGCGGCAGCACAAAACACAACAGCAACACACAACACAAATTGTCCACCTTTGGCACGGGAAAATTCGTACAGCAAAATAGTCGCTGGAGGGCAACGTAGCAGTCACACAGATGTGGCAGCACTCGATCCTATGCCAAACAAGAAACCACAGTTGTGGGTCGACATTTCACGGGAAGACACAACTCGCGCGGTGGACGCTGTGGTAAGCCCGTTGGAGGCGCTGAAATTGGCGACAGGATCATCAACTGAACAGCCAGTGTGGGCACAACCATTCCCGACTCCATCAGCATCACAGCATGAAAGTGAGTGGCATACTACCACTAGCAGTAGCGCCCCGGCAGGCGTTTACAGTCCCTTTGGCCTTGGGTTTGATGGCGGCATTCATTGTGCAGGTAGCGTCGGAGAGATTGGGACGAAGTCGCCAGCGCCCAGCGACGTCTGGGGATCCTCAAGTACGATGGACAATGCTCTCAACTCGTTTCCGTCTGCGACCTCGTCGATGACAGCCTCCACAAACTCATCATCGTCGTTTGCGTCAATCGATGCGATTTTCAGCCACCGAAACGATTCGTCAGAGGCACTTGCAGGGTTGCTCGGTGTCCAGTTAGCGCCCAACTTACTGGCGCATGGTGCACCTTTGGCAGGACCGCCTGACGACGGACATGCCTCACGTTTTTCGTTCGCGAATCCTGTTGACGTTAGTCGTGATGGTACAAATCAGGCCCCGGCTCGCTATGAGTTGCTAGATGGAACGACGACCAACAACCACGGCGCCGTTAGCAGGATTGATACTTCTCATGCCGCGAGTGATTTAATGGTATCTGCTGGATATACCTCAATGACGGACCGGTCCGGTTTTCCACCATTCCAAGGCTACCAACAGCAGCTGCACCACACGCCGCCACCGCTGCACCCTTCAAGAGCTTCGTCGGGAGATGACATGTGCAACAGTGTGCTGCCACATAGCGGTACTCGTGCACTAGGTGTGGATTCCAATGGGCTTGCGTTTCTCCAGCAGATGCTACCGAATGTGAACATTAGCCTCGGAGGTGACTATTCTGGACTGTCTGGACCATCTTTAGGTGCGATGGAATCAGCGGTTTCATCTGCTCACACTTCCAACGCGGCTCGCAGCAGTCCAGGACGTCGGCTGTTCGCGCGCAGCCAGTGTGCTGGTAACAATCTCGTTTCACCGGATTTGTGGGAGGGTGGAAGTCTCAGCGCTCTTGGCTTTGATGAGCAATCTCGTTCTCGACGGGCAACGACAGGGTTGTCATTCTGCGGCCCGGCCCTTGTGCCACCGCCGTCCAGTGAATTTCCGAGTAGCTTCTACGGCTTCAGCTCCTCCAATTCGAACGCCGGTGAAAGCGAGTGTCTACTCATGCGTGGTGACTTTGACAACGATGCATATCGTCGCTCGAGCTCGCTGATCGACAACAGCTAGACAAGAAGGCTGGCCATACCCGGCGATAATAGCTGCTTTCGAGCGGGAAGAGTGGGCCTACACACATCACACAAACACACAATGGGAGCTGCGTTTGTATGAAGGTGCAACTGGCGAAGCAACGAGTCGTGGCTAGACGACAGACGATTACACACATGCGCACCGCAGAGCTTGACCAACGGAGACGATTGAAGGGTGTTGCCCCCTTCTGATATGGTTGAACACCAGCACGAGTCGTTTTTGCCCCTTTGGTTCGCCCCTCAGTGTTTTATGTTGCTCTGCTTGCACTACTGTCGCGGCTTTTGGACGACTGGCCATTGATCGCTAGCTGCAATACAGCTAAACACGTCGCCGTTCAGTGCTGCGACTTAGCTGTTGAGGATGCATTAAGAGTTTTTTCTGCACGACCACTGACAAATGACGGATTTCCGATATTATGGGTAGATGACGAGATGTAGGACAATGAAAAGCCAGCATTGCTACGTACTTGTTTCGACCATACTGATTGAACGTATTGTGGAGGACATGATGGCTACAACTACCGAGGAAACGCAATTCTGCAGACGCCGATCATAATAATCTGTTCGAACAGTGTGCCAGAAGCGACTTTCGTGCAACAGACGATAAAGTTGCAGCTGCAGATTTTGCAGCACAACAAACCAATTGCTTGGGCAGCAAATCTCTTCAGCGACAAGAGAACATGATCTTGGCTCCATTGCTTCGACTTGTGCCGGATACGGAAACTTTAACGGGGTGAGCCTGTAATATGTAATGAACCCTGGATACTTGTTAATGATAATATTATCATCAAGGTTGATGATGCTCGTGGATATTACCATAAGGGGCAAGATTCAGAAACACCCACCATCGGCTGATATGGGTCATCATGTCAGCCTGCTCTAGCGGTCAACCAACGATGGACGCGCGCAAGGAGTGGTGAGCGAGACTTTAGCATACGCTTCTGTAGATGAAAATAATTAAGTTAGGACGAAAACATAGATTAAGGATGATCAGGATCATATTACTTTTAACACAGTTTTGCTTTTACCAACCATTACTCTTTTCCTAGTTGCTTTCTATTCCTCTGCGTAGTTTACAGAGGTAGCGAGGCACCACTCACACTGCTTTGGTGAGAGTAGCTCCACACCGGTTGTCAAGTGTGCTGCTCCGGTACCCTATGACACCTGGTAGCACTTTGCATTCCGTCCAAGAACCACAAAACCCGTTCAACATGAACATGTTGGACGATAAAGGCGACAACACCTTTCACAGCACCTGTGCAAGTTAATCATATTTAAGTGATGTCGAATGGAGTGCGATCGAACAAATGAGTTCGACCATTGGCGAAGAAGCTGCCTGGTCTCTACTATCCTCAAAGGATAGGGACCATTAGCATTTCGTGATCGCTCATCGGCACGCTTGTAGTGTCCATAAGACTGACGACCAGCGGAGATACCGCGTCCGCAGTAATTTAGGAGGAAGCTTTCGAGTAAGTCTTCCACTTATTGCGTGTCGATTGACTCAATCGAGAGTACCTATTTCGCGCTGGGCCCATCAGCAGATCACCAGAAACCAGACATTTCTCCGAGTCAGGGGCATGGTCACGCAATAAAGCTGACATGACTTTGCGTATCCATCCCTAGCGCGGTCATCGTCGCGATCGCGGCCTGAAAACTATTTTACTCGGCAGTAGCAGACATGCGAAGCCGTTGCGCCAGCAAAACCACTCCCGTATAACCCTTGTTAGTAGCCAACTGGAGTCTTCGGTGGTCGTAGATATCAATATCTTCAGGATAGAATGCGCTGCCGCAACTGTAATGCAAGTCAGCTGATTTCATCTCGTTGTCTATCATTCACGCCCCGAACACATTGTGGTTGGGGGCGGGTAAACCGGTCGGCGCCGTACGGGGCGTCGACGGTATTGGTCCTCAAAAATGAATTCCAAAGATTTTGCAAAGCACGTTTGCATTTGATCGGATTTATTCATAGCAGGGATTTGCGTAGTGGTTATACCCATCGCTATGGTGCTTGGAACTATACTTTTCGTGGTATTCACGCAAAAGAACTGATCCAGAAGGTTTTAACGACATTCGTTAAATCTCCATGTCATTTTTGTTGTCTGCATCCAACTCCGCAGAGGCGTAGTGTGACGACACAGCCATAAAATGATCCTCCTTATTGACATTGGCGGTGATCGTGAGATCACGATCAGCCGAGTCATTATTACCAGTTTTTGGACCCGCGCCTTTAAAAAGCGATCGGCCGGCCGTGATTACCTCATCCAGGTTGCAGTCAATCAAAACCCGCACACCGAAAATCCTCAGTAAAAAGTCTGCCCCTTGTAGCAACTAAATGATACCTTGTACCGCTTCTATTTCGCTTTTAGCGGCTCTTATTACAATTTGAAGTCTTCGGATCGGTCTGATCATCTCTGGTATCAAATAGTTAGCATTCTATCTGCGAACAATTTTTTTTACAGAAGAGCATTAGCTTAGTCCTAGCTCCTAATAGGCCAATAACGAACAGTTCGATTTTTTCACCACAAAACATGCGTCAGTATCCATTCGGGCTGGAATACTGGTGGCTACCCGACATTCAAGGTTTGCTGCTCACGTGTTTGCTGAAGTTTTCTCCTTAGATTGCTTGGCACGGGACTAATTTACCTATAAAAGCTAGCCTACGACGGACGCGGCAAGCGTAATAATACAAGGTCTTCAGAAGGCTCAAGTGATCCAAAGAACAAGGTGATCAAGTTGCTAGAAGAAAACGAGGATCAAGTATCCATATTGGGCAAGGCGACCTCAAGGATGTTCAGGGTGACTCTAGGAAAGTGCAACAAGTAACCGTTGGTCGTGTGAAGAATTCCCACGCGACCACACTCCACCTATCTCCAACTCGGCCAAGACAGACGTCTACCGAAAGTCACATAGAATAGTGCAACCAACCCGCCGACGGGTACAAAAGGTGAGGAGGAACAAGACAATAAAAACCTCTCCGTTAGTAGGCTATTTTAAGACCCTCCCCCATTAGTCGGTCAACCGGGTATCAGTGAAGAGTTAGGATCGCTTCGAAAAATAAGCGATACCCACTATACCACAATGTTGCGCGTGTCCGGATATTCTGGTGACTTAAGATTCCATCGTGAATCCCAGAGTGAAAATATCAAGGTCAATATTGAACCGGGGATGTAATTGTCGGATTGTAGCAGACGCTTGATTATCAAGAACCCTCTTTTTGTCCGATTTTTGGGATGGGCTCGGGTAAACCGAAGATTAAAGAGGAAGATTACTTAGTGATTGCAAAACCTCAGTTCCATCCTAAGTTCACTCCGGGGCCACCGCGGACCTCACTACAAAGTACGACTCGCTTGAAGGAACAAGTCCATCCAAAGCAGGTCATGTTTCGGCTAAAAGCAAAACTGAATAAAAAGAAAAGTATCGAATTCTGCGACCCAGACTTTACAAGCGCCATGAATCCGAAGGCAAATATCAGGAAACGTTTGGGACATCAGAGGTCAAGATGAAGGGCTGGACGATGGATCAGATAGAACTTCGTTTGCACTGGACCCATCTTTAAACATCGCTGTCCAGACCGCTGGTCTCAGAATAACAATGACCACTGGTTAGTAATCGTGACCATGACCTCTAGTCGTTGACAGTGATCGTGATCGCTGGTCACATTCCAGGAAGATGGTAAACAACCGTGATCGTGACCGATGATCATCGCCTGTGACCGCGACTGATGACCTGTCAATTTTCTACCGTACCGTTAATGATTTTGGGAGTTCAGTACTAAGGCCTTCGTGACCGGTCCTACATGTACTCATGATGTGAAAAGATGCGATTGGTCAGGTTTCTTCCGACCATTTCACCACATGAAAAAAGGCATGGCTTATAAAGATTTAAATGGTAGCGCCAAGAGGTGGTTCATCCCGGGATGAGGACTCTTCTACCTGCAAAGACTTAGTATTGTTGAGTATGAGCCGGTACCCAATGTAAGGTATTGTTCAAGTCTTGTCCGCTTTTACAATCTGGTCCGCCAAATATACGGGAATGTCTTAGAATTGTCAAGTGACAAGCCGATGGGTTTCAGACAAGAGCACTGTACCTCATGTAGTCGGCGTATACTTCGCCGGCATTCTGTAAAATGCGATAAAGTGTTGGCGTTACCCTTTGGTGTAAGGAAAAGATGCCACTGAGCTCGTACAGAATCCTGGAAGAATTGATTGTTAGGGATTAGGTAGGTGGACGCCGGAACTAAACTCGAAGGAGCGAGTCGTGAAGGGACAACATCCCGAAGTGCTATCTAATTCGTATACTTGATCCAGAACTTGTTGCGTTGGTACGTTAAGATTGCACTGTCGGGGACTCAAACATCTAATATGCTACACGTAGCCCCTACCAATTAATTGTAGTCCATTCATTCATATTAAAGAGCAAAGTGCTCGACAGATTACCGACATCGTGCTCATCTTATCCAAGTGTGACCACAATACCCACTATTCCCAGTGGAAGGACACCCAAACCACTATTTGTGAGAATGCACAAATCTGTAGAGATGAGGATATCGTCTCCACAGATTTTGCTGGTAAATGCTAAACGGATGGGGCTCCTTTTTATTCGGCTGGGTCGTTCTTTAGGTCTAGGGTAAATGTCGTTGATAAAAAGCATGATGTTGAATATCGTATGTTTACTAAAAAAATTTATCAAAATTAACTTTTGGTGACCGCTTCGCCAAATGAGGTTCTCGTGATAGCTGTCGCGTTTCAGTAACTACGTACGATGCTATAAATTACGTATCTGTTGTGCCCGCCAGTCTCTTTACCATAGTTACAAACCTGCTTTAATAGGCATGACAGAGCAGTCGAAACAGCGGCTAACAAATGAGACCCTGCATATTAAGTATTTACCTCCAGCTTTGGCTGCAGAAATCGGCTTCAATGAAAGTAAGCGATAAAGCGGCAAGATACCTTGTTTTCTCAAATCAACTATGATTACTGACATCCGCGTCCAATTTTACCATGAAAATTGGCTGCTTGCAGGCAACTGCCGCAATTGAAACAATATAAGTATCTCGGCGATACCAATTTTGTAGTTGAAAGTATGTATGAGAGTGCCAATAATGATATTTCTAGGCAAGACGTACCGCGCCACCATTAGCGTTGCGATCGCGCGGGCGTACCATGTTGGTGGATCTATTGACAGTGTGCTATGTCAAAAAGCGAAATTTTTTTGGATTGTAACGATAACAGCAAAAGAAACGTCTGAGATAGAGTATTAGCCTGTTTACACCCTCTCGTCAGTATGATATTTGAATAGACGTGTGAGTAAAATTGTTAATAAACTGAGTAGATGGGTTCGACGAAGTTAAAAGCGTGCTTTTAAGTTACTTTTGAGTTACTTTTAAGTCACTTCTGAGGATTTTTAAAATGACCCAGCCAACTAAAAATTGAACTCAGCCGTTTACCATTTTGTTAGTGCCCGAAGAGCTGTCACACCCAGAATTTTGCAGACTAACGTTTTCTGTATCTAAACCCAAAAATACTTAGCTTTCGGCACGTAGAAATCGATAGCCTCGTGCTATTTAAATCGAGACTGTTGTGAGCCGTTGTGACACCAGAATACTTTGCGATGGTCGAAGCTGATCGTATGTATATTTACATAACTATCGTATCAATGTACGTACGATGCTAACCACGTAGCTTCTTGTGCAATGATAGATTTGTTGTCAGCGACTGCAGAAATTGCTCCCCGAAGACCAAAGTCAGTGAATAGGGTCGTTTGTGGATATGATGAAGGAAAGCGACCGAAAAGACATCGGGAACGCGGCGCACTAAGAACTAAGTTTAACGAATTAAGGGCTCCATCTGGTGGTGATGCCGCAGAACTATCACAGGAGATCTGATTGCAGATCTAGAATAATGCTGGCGTTTTGACCAGGTGAATGCTTTCTTCACTTTAAGTAGGTTTTAAGCGCTGCAAAAGTTGATTCCGCACCGATCGAAGTTAGGATGACCTATACTAGCTCTAACCAGAGCCCCCCTTGACCACCAGTAAATCGGTAAAAACACGTAATGATGCAGATGCGGCAGGGGTAGATATCTGACACTTGAACACCCCGCTCTAAAACTCTAAGATCCGTGAAACCCTTCTTTATTATGATAAAGATCTATAGGATGAGTCAGCTCGTCGTACAGAAGATTGCATGATGCTGCCCAGCAAGGAGAGAAAGAAAAAGAGCGGGCTTATAAACGAGCCCATCGTGGTTGACGGCATTCGCAGCTTCTTTTCGATATTTCTGGTGAGAACGCAGCTGCCGCCTCAAGTGGTCATCAAGAGCACCCTTACAAGAGTATTTTGCAAAAGCCTGCATCTTACTCGTTTTTTCCCAAAAGAAAACCGATGCATTGTTCGCGAATGACACTGACAACACAGAAACGTTGGTTGAATTGCATTAATGCTTTGGTCGCGGTCATTTATGCCTAATGTGTTTACTTTATGCAGCATTAGGAGTAAGGCGCAAGTTTACAGATGTCAAGGGAATGCTGATGGTTGTGGCAGTATCTGTTGTAAGTGCATGATGCACTGGATTCGACTCCAGAGATTCGACCCATGATAGGGTATGTCTAGAATGTTCTTTAGGGTTCTATGCATTATTATAGGTCGTACGGCAGCTAGACGTATGGATAGTTCTCACTTGTAGATTGACAAACCACTGATGAGGCCCCCGGCGGGGGGCCGAAACGCGTCTGGTGCGCGGTAATATACAAGTTATTTACTTTACTTAGCTCCTACTTTTTACAGTATCAATACCAGTAGGGTAACTAGCAGCATTATAGTGATACACTAGTCTTAGTTGTCGCTTGGGTCTCGGTGGCTGAAAACCTGACAATCGGATATCGCAAATGGTATTTATGACGGGTTCACAGACAATTTGCGTGAACTCTCATAAATAGGGATTGTATTGGCCTTCCAGTGTTTTGTCCTGAATCAATACCGAAACCGAATGCCTACGATTTATCCATTTTTGTCCGTTATGAACTACGACGCTCGTGGTATGACAACATTACTCCTTTTTGTCAAACAATGCGCAAAAAACAGCAGCTCCACGTCATATGAGATGTCAAAGATCGGAGCCGGGTCCGAATTTAACCCCTCAAACGGAACACGGTACCACCGCTTTAACCATTTCTCATCAGCTGCTCGCCACCAATTCGTAGCCGCCAATGGATCGCGTCGTAGATCTCGTGGCGCTCTTGCAGCCGTATGCAGAGCTCGCCACTCCTTTGGACTTCCGCTTGCTGCATGAACGCGTCGATGGGTTATCAGCATCCATAGGACTTGGCAGCGACCAGCTCCGCTATGTCCTGTGCCTTTTTGCCGCATATCCACTGGCAGTTGTCTACAAATTGCTGCCTGGTGCCAGTTTGAAGCACGTGATGGACGTGGTCGTTGGCATTTCTATGGCCCAGTTTGTGCTTGGATCGGGATGGATCCACTCGTTCATATCGAGCTTGATCACGTTTCTGCTCGTGAAATTTGGACCACCGAAACACGCGCCTGTGCTTGTGTTTGTCTTTAACATGCTGTACATGTCAGCATCGCACATTTACCGTTTGTATGTGGACTACATGGGCTGGACACTGGACTTTACGGGACCTCAGATGCTACTGGTGATTAAACTGACGAGCTTCGCCTACAATTACTACGACGGCGTCGTGGACAAGACAATGGCGAAAAAAGGCGCGGAATTAACGGGTGGGGACAAGAAATTGTACAGTGGCCGTCAGCAGCTTGCAATTTACGAGATTCCGAGCTTGTTGGAGTTTTTTGGGTACGTCTACAGCTTCACGACGTTCCTGGCTGGACCAGCGTTTGAGATTCGAGAGTACTTGGACGTCACGAGTGGCAAAAAGTTTTTGCTCAACGGTCAGTACAAACAGCCGTCTAGTGTACTGGCAGCCTTTTCCAAATTCCTGGTGGGGTCGCTACTCATGGCGGTATTTGCCGTCTACGGACCCGTGTACCCGCTGTCGAATTTGCATGACCCAAAGGTTGCGGCCCAGCCGCTGCTGTTTCAAATCCGTGACTTGTACATCACGCTGATATTTTGTAAGGCCAAGTATTACTCTGCATGGAAGGTAAGCCATCATGTCGATTGGGCTACAGTAGGCAGCGCGACTGACGATTAGGTTTCGATTGTTATGTAGATTGCCGAGGGAGCGACAGTGCTGTGTGGCTTTGGATTTGAGGGCTTCGATAAGAATGGCAGCGGTCGTGGCTGGAACGGCGTAAGCAATATGGACATTCTTGGATTTGAGTTCTCGCAGAGCATTCGTGCAGCTTCTCGTGCCTGGAACAAGGGCACGCAGAACTGGCTGGAGCGTTATGTGTACACACGCACAGGCAACTCGTTGATGGCCACGTACTTCATTTCGGCGTTTTGGCACGGATTCTACCCGGGCTACTACCTGTTTTTTATGAGCTGTGCGTGATATTTTCCTGACTTACTATCAGCCCGGTGTACTGAATGTTTTGTTTGCGTTACTCTTTTTACTTTCAGTGCCACTGGCTACGGCAGTGAACCGCCTGGCCTTTAAGCGCCTCCGTCCGCGCTTCATTGAGGCTGATGGATCATTCGGGGCCAAAAAGAAAGTCTACGACGTGTTGAGCTACTTGCTGACGCTGTTCGCCATGCATTACTTTGTGATGCCTTTTCAGGTATGATGCACGCATAATGATGTATATCTTTACTTTTACTGACTGTAGCTCTCTCGTTTGGTTTGCGCTACTCCAACCGCAGGCGATGTCGTGGGAGCACTCATTGGCTTCGTTGAAGAACACTTACTTCGTCGGCCACGTCGCTGCAGTTGTGCTGTACATCCTCTTTTCGATCGTTCCTGCACCGAAGCCGAAGACGAAAATGGCGTAGAGAGGTCAGGAAGTGATGTCGAGGACAATCAAGGGCTTTGCTTGCACACTGTCACGCTGCAGCTTCTCGAAACATCACCTAGCAGATGTTAAAATCTTTTCAAATAGAAGAAAAAAGTAGCATGCCCATTTGGAATACCTACGCCACAGTACAGAAGGCAGCTAAAGTTCACCACGAGACGCAAGCACGTTTACCTCGTGGCAAAAACGCTGCACTGGGAAGCCGATAACGTTATTGCTGCAGCCATGGATCTCTTTCACGAAACACCGCGCTCGACCTATTGCAAAACACAGGTTAGCCCAGCCCAGCACGAAAATAAACGTAACGGTTGCACCGCACCTTGCAGCCCGTATGCTCCAGCTTTGTCCATTGGTTCTCCTGTCGCAATGTACGCTACGCATCGAAAGTCTCAACACAACGTATGAATCGCAGATCTGACAGACATCGACGTACTCCGGATATCTTCGGGCTCCAAGGGACCGAATACCAGACGAGTCGTTTCAAAAAACAAGTGCGGGTCATTGGTGCCCCTTTTCGCAGTCAATAGCGCCACACCCGAGAAAACTTGGTGGGGGCGGCCTGAAAGTCCTGTCAACATGTTGAAGGCGTCCTGCTCATCTTTGGGTTTTTCCAGGATCACCCCGTCCTGCACCACGACAGTGTCACATCCAATGACGACTACCAGAAGCTCGGACGCACTTTTCTTGTCGCTCGATACTCGACAAAGCACTTCTAGAGCTTTTTGCTTGGCGTTTTCGATAACGTAGAGATCAGGTGTCGCGAACTGTTCCTTAGGCAGGTTTTCTTCGAAAGTAGACGGGATCACCTCAAAGCTAAGACCCTAAATATAACAGGTTAGTCGTAAGAATAGAGTTGATGGTGTTACATTGTTCACGAATAGAACGTACGCAGTCACTGAGGAGTTCGAGACGACGAGGGCTCTGGGATGCCAGGATCACACGGCGATTCCGCAGATGGTTTGATAGACTCGATAACATTGCGTACGAAATGGTAGGTGAATAGAGAGCTGTAAAATAACGCCCTGGTTAGGGCCGTGAACTCGTTGGTCCGGATGGAGCACACAAAACGAAACACAAAATCGTTTGCAAATACATACACAGAACAAACACCACCCACTAAGGGGGTTTCGTGGACCATATGGCAGACAAAAATATTGCTCGCTGACCAGGGTCATGTAAACGTAAGCTTTCAATACTTGTTTCAACGAGACGGCGACTTACCACTGCACTTGCTCAGCAATGACTCGAAGTAAGCTAGAGAAACATTACCTTGCAAAACGGTACACGGCACGCTAGACACAATCTACTACCACCTTCTCGATTCTCGGTCGCGTAACATCGCTGGTGTCCAAAAAGAATCATGCTTTCACCGAGCTCAACTATTTGCACGACGGTCCTGACACTACCATAAAGTGAAAACTTGTAGAATGCACGAATGTAAGTAGTGTAAAGGCGGATTAAACGAAAATAAAAAGGAATACAGATAAGGCGGGATTGTCAGGGTCATTGCATGCAGCGTAGAATGAGTAGAACAAGCACCCGTGAATTAATCATGCATGTTTGATTATATTCTTGCTTCAACCGGCTCGTCGATGCGATAAAACCCCACAATGGGTTATCGTAAAGCTCAGCAGCCTGTATATTTCCCTCGACAAGTCGACACTTGGATTTAATCTTCTTGACCTGAGTTAAGCACATCGGGTGCGGTGAGCGCCTCTAGTCAGAACGGGATCAATGTTCATGGTAAAAAAGCGGCAGCATTTAGTCGTTCGGTCATGCGTTTGTCCACGAACTCGAGTCCTTTTTAGAGAAGGAGTAGACTCGCAAGCGGAAGCAACCCAGCGGCACCACACATCTACGCCATTTGTCCGATCTTGGGGTGTTTTAGCTATTTCGTTGGCAGCTACTTTAGATTTGTATAATTGTAGATGAAGCACGGACATGAATGGACCGAAGCGATCGAAGACGACAGCACATAGCAAATGCTAGACGTCTCGAAGCATTAAATGCCAACACCTTCGATGTAAAGGGGTTACACATCGTAAAGTACTCGGTACTCGGTGTCTTAGACACACGGGATGGTATCCCGCTGAAAGAGAAAGAGAATATCTCATACATTTATAGGGGCTGACGGGTGTCAGCTAAAACATAGGAAAGATCTTAAAGGTGTAAATTCAAGACATGAGTCTCTGGATTCGATAATATCAGAGTTAAGATATTCTATAGAGTCAAGCGTATATAAAGTTCAGTTCCCCCTTTGAGCTTGTCCGGACACGTGCCTTGCGAGGCGTCTCTTATCTATAATCGTTAAGAGTTAGCAACACTTTCCTGAGGTAGCTACGCTTGAGCACTAAGTGCTGCATATTCACTCAATTGTCCGGTCACCTGAAACAGGGACCTTAAGCTTTACACTTGTTGACTCATAGATTCTAGTTCTTTAGAACTGATATCGCCATTTGAGCACTAAGACTTCCTCTGAATTAAGGATCTGTGTAGCTCCGCTACACTTGGTAGCACTAGTAGTCAATTTACGCCTGAGTCTTTTAAGACTGACCCTCTGTAAAAATGGAAATCTAACCTCCCTCTCTGAGGCCCAAAGGGTCGCGCTTGATAAGCTGGCCGCATCTTCGGGTCCAGAATATGTACAATAACTTGCGCCGCAAGTCCTGGAGATACTGACTACACGTGTTCAGGGCTTCTTGCATCATGAAGCGTCTCTTCTAGGACAAACACAAGGCCAAATGGCATCGGCTATGCCTACACGCAGTGTGTCTGTTCCAGACGAAGAGACTAGGCCTCGTCCACTTATGGTGGAAGTCAAAAACGACTTAGGAAAGAAGGGTAAAACCTCATCCTCTGGATCCGTGATATTGTGTCGGCCATGAGGTCAGGTCTGATCAAGATCGACCATCAAAAGGTCTTTCCTGGCTATCTCAAAGCTCTATAGAAGAGCTAGAAAATGAGCCTTGACGTGTGGCACGTCTATCGACTTAGCGTTTCCCACATGGTAGTCGCTGAAGTCACAATTGGTACAGATGTTCTTACCACCTAATCAGGCTTACTGTGTAACGGGGTGAATCGTTACATAACAATTTATAAGAAATTGTTAACAGAATATAACTATAAGAGTTATATTCTCAGAATATTGTCATAAGGACAAATATTCTGCAGCACTTACGAGTAGTTCCTAATTGGTTGATATAGGCCATTATATCAACCAACGAAGACGCGCCACGACAGACGCACGCAATGAGTGGTGATCAGATAGTTGATTTACACATTTGTATTTAGACATAGTTAGATGAAGATAAATAGTGATTTATTGCAGACATTAACGATTATAAATACAGTTCTACTTTTTACTTTAACCAAGTACTCACTTCTTCTTACCGTCTTCCTCTGCACGTACGAGTGTACGTGAAGTTCCGAGGCACCGCCTTATTCTGTCATCAGAATAAGTAGCTTGTACTGTCACCAGTACAAGCTTTAGGGTGCCCCGTTACATACTGCGTGCGTTCACGCTTTTTTTTCTACCCGTCAGGGTAAGAATGAGATAACGGGCTATACTGGAAGGATAAGAACTTTCATAGATGCTATGCAGTCTGACCTTCGCCTGAGGCAATCCATGCGAATATATATATGGAAGGGTTCCATACTAGCATTGTCAGAACCGACGTCTTTCGGGCTCATCCTTCTACACTCGGAACGGCTGTGATAATCTGACTTAATGCTGAGCATAACTTTAAGTCGGCCAGACTTGGCTGGAATGGGTACAACCCTAGCTCTGCGAGAGCAAATTCCACGAGTACTCTGGCCGTTAACAGGCTGAAACCGATGAGTCTCAGCTATGCTGATGATGAAGGTGAAGTTGAGCTTCAAACTGCTATATAGCAACATGTTTTACGACGGTGTTATACGTGTCGAAGCACTAAACACTCGTAGTTGCCTTTGCGTAGAAAGTGCCAGGCTAAGAATCAACACTCAACCTCTAGACAGGATTATGGCATGGCACGGGGAAATTCCAAGACTCAGTAGGAGCGGGGCACCCTACTGGGGGAGAAATAGGCCCTGTAACAGCTTCAGGAGGTAAAGTTGAGCAGGGATTATCCCCAAAGGGTTCCATTCCCACTGGTATGGAACGTGGATACAACTCTGGCTTGTTAGTCACTGAGGCGAAAGTTAAAGGCTTTGTAACAAAGAATCGATCAATTTAGTCGATTCTGGGGCGTCTTGCAACATGATCGACCTCGCTATCTTGAGGGAAGTACGCGTTATGCTGAGGCGCTTAAAGCGCATGAGAGTAATTTAACCATAGTTCGTTAAGCGAATGGAAGTCTTGTCACTTTACCTAGAGCTCCATTGATCTTAGGTAGGAAGTTTTTGGACTTTAATAGCATCAAACGCTGTCTTTTCCTTCATGAACACGAGACATATTCTCGTCCTAGGTAAGCTTGGCTTGAACGCCATGAGTCATGGATTGAGTGGAGGTCTAAGACATTAAGCGCTACGCACAATGTTACTAGCAAAGTTTGATGAATCCTGGACCTACCTTTTTTCGGCAAAAAAGAACTATTCAGCGATCCTACAAAAATCGATTTCAATGTGCTGGCATTGAAATGCCCGAGCTAACTAAGTTCGTTTAACTGAAAAGTTAAAACAAGGTTTAAATATTCTAGTTAGGTTCCCGTCTCAACGACCGGAAGGAAACATGTGTCGTGCCTGCGGTGAGATGCATGACCCGGGGAAGTGTTCTATGGAGGAGTACTTGAACCCATAACACTTAGACCCACAATCTAACACTCTACCATTGAGTTTTTAAAAATAAAACTTGCCGTTTCGGTAAATTTCTTAAGTCTCAATACATTTTAAGTGAAAAACATCTGAGGCCGTAATTAGTACACGAATGTGACTATTAGTTGGAACTACTACACAAAATTCGAGGATTTTGCAAGCGCTGCAGTATGTTGTGCACTACCTTCTTGGCCGCGGATGTCGACTGTGAAATAGTTTAAGGCCACTTCTTACGTAGGGAAAAACAACTGATCAATAGAGTGGTCCAGTTTCGAGCCTCCTCTTCTACATGTTCGAGTGCGTTAACATATTATATGATCCCAATCGTTCAGCAACTGAAATGTTAAAACAAGGTTAAAATATTCCTCTTTGCCCGTCACAATGCGCATAAACGCGTCCTCACGCAAGCGTTCCGTTAACGTTACCACTGTAATTTATTATATTTTAAAAACTTTAATTTTTAAATTCAGTTCCTCTTTTGATCTTGTCTAAGTCACGTGCCCTAAAGCACCCTCGAAAAGGGATTTCTTCAGCACCATATTAGCATATTCACCTAAAACAAATAAGGCAAAAGTGGGGTGGAATTGCGTGGCAATGCCGCATGTTCGGTGAGACCCCTTGAACTCCCTTGCACAAGGAGATGTCAATCAATTAATAATATTCCCTGTTGGGATCACATGTGCCCCGGACCGACCTAAAGTTGCTAATCTTGCACCTAAAAAGAAGTTATAAGATAAATATAAAAAAGGAATTAGATATTTATTTACTCTGCATTTTTCTAAAGGATCCGGATCCACCGCGTAAACGCTGTTATACCTAGAGAAATCGTTATTTCGGTCGGCCTCTCCTTTTGTGATCTTCGCTCAAACTCGTTGTGATAATAAAAAAAATTGTTTTTTAAAAACCTATAAATTTATTCCAGCACGTTTTCAACAAATTTTTGGACTACAGAAACTTCTTTAATCAATTTTTTTGAATTATCGCTCAAAGGATAAAAGGTTTTCCGGGGGAAAATCTTGTGTGCAGGGTAGTCGAGCGACCCGACGAGGAGGGAGAGTCGACAAGACATCCACACGCTTGTGGACGCTCCAAAACGTTCATCAGATGGCCATCTGATGAACTTACCGATGTAAAACTAAATCTCGAGGTTGCTTGACTGTAAGATAGACATATCAAACAGGGACGAA